AGCTTATAGTGCAAAGTAAATTTGATTTACTCATGTTCTTAACTCAGTTTATGAGGATGATAAAAAATGTATAAATTTTGGCAAGAATAGTGTACATAATTAAAAAATATATTGTAAGAGTTACTAAAATACAGTTAAACTGACACATTTAGAGCTGGTGTTCTAYAGGGAGGCATCCTTTCCCCAATGCTATATAACTTATATGCTTCTGATCAACCAACCTCCGCCAACACCATTGTGGYAGACTTTTYAGATGACAAACTTATCATATCTATATAAATGAAAACCCYGATAATGTAACATCGCTTAATCTACAAAATAATCTTTCCCTTATGGAAACCTAGTATAAAAATTGGAGGATTAAGGTAAATAAAACCAAATCTAATCACACAACTTTTACTCTTAAGCTAGTACACTGTCCGCCAGTCACTCTCTATACTTCTATAGCATTCAAATTACGTCTACTCCAACAGTTAAATATCTTGGCTTAACCCTTGACCGCAGACTAACATGGGCCCAATATACATGTGTAAAGACTTCAACTAAATCTGGGACTTCATATGCTTAAATCTTTACTAGTCAATAACAAACACACCAACCTTAATATAAAACTACTAATGTATAAATTCCTCATCAAACCCATTTGGACCTATGGTCTCCAACAGTGGGGAAATACAAAAAATCAAATACAAATCGTATTCATGCTTTTTAAAATAYTGCATTAAGAAAATTAACGAACTTTCCCATCTTATGTTTCTAATCATACTCTTCACACAGACCTGAAAATCAAAACTGTAAAAGAAGAAGCAGTCACTTATTATAAWAGATTCCATAATCGGTTTGCAACTCATTCTAATCCTTTAATCAAAGCTCTTTCAGCAAATGTTATTCCGGGTAATCCTCCAAGGCGTTTAAAACGCAACTGGTGTAGAGATAATATGCTAACTTAATATTATAATATAAAAAAAAAAACAAATAAACAAAATCATATATAATATGTATAATATATATATAAATTAATCTGTAACCTCAATTTATAAGTGTCATCACTGGGTGGCTGCTTCCATCAAGCTTATTCATGTATTTTTATTTGTCTTAGCTAATACTCTTATTGTACCCATGAGGTGCAAATTGTG